GGTATCCCCATTGAGTTTGTTGATTCCTATAAATATTTGGGTATCTTGGTCGACTCGCATCTCTCTTTTAAGCTCCATGTGGAAAACTTGATAAACTGAAAGTTAAACTGGGTTTCTTTTTCAGAAACAGATCCTGTCTAACCCTGAATGCTAGAAAACGCCTTGTATCTGTGACTTTCCTTCCCTCAATTGATTATGGTGACATTATTTACATGAACACTCCTACAAGAACCCTGCAGATGTTGGATGCTGTCTATCATGGTGCACTAAGATTCATAACTGGCTGGGATTATCGTACCCACCACTGCACACTGTATTCACTGGTTAACTGGTCACCATTAACTTCACGCAGACTCTCTCACTGGTATATTTTCATCTTTAAATTACTTCTTGGTCTGCTGCCTTCATACATCTCCTCCTACATGTCTCTGCGTGAGTGCAGCTACAGCGTGCGCTCTCAGGACATCATTACCTGCAGTGTTCCCTCAATGAGGACTGAACTAGACAAAAGGGCCTTCTCCTATTCCGCTCCTGTTTCCTGGAATATCTTACAAAAAGATTTGAAGCTCTCGACCTTGACCTCTCTAAGTGTCTTTCAGAATCTGTTGGACACCTGGCAGGGTCCAATGCTGACATGTTCCTGTTTTTAGTTTTCTACATTTGTCTTGGAATCTAGCTGTTTTTTGTTTTGTTACCTTTTCCTTTTAGCCATCCTATTTGTTAAAAAAAAAAAAAAAACCTGTAGTATGCTTTTTTATAACTGTTTATTGTTGTTGCTGTTGTCCATTGTTGTCATCACTCTGTTAAATCATGTCTCTCTTGTAAATGAGTCCTCGAGGCTCAATGGGATTTACCTGTATAAATAAAGGTTGATTGATAAAGAAGTTCTATTCACATAACATTTGTTCAGCAGAGGTAAAAAGTAATGCCAATATTTCACATTAACCTTTACCAAATAAAGAGCCTTGACCAAAAAAAAAAAATTCATCTTATTTTTTTTTTTTTTTTTCAAGTTTTATGCTAAAGCATTTTAGGGTGTTGGTTTGTTGATTAAGATTGCAGATCCATGAATGTAATTCACTTCATAGTACAGCTTAGTTGAGAAAGACCCCACTAATTGTTCCTACAGGAATAAGGTATTACCATCTGGCTCCCAGTGAAAACCCATTCATGGCCCTTTAAAGCCATCTGGGCTTCACATATGAGCCCATTATAAAAATTACAGACAGATCCACTTATTCCCCATGTTTTAGCACAGTTGAGACCCCTTTAAGCCCAGGTAAATATTCCTGAAAGCACACATGGGCCGGATGGGCCTCATTTAAGTTAACCCTCTGGGTCCCACAGAAAACCCAGTCAGGGCCCATTAAAATCTATCTGGGCAAACCCATGTGGGGCCACCATGGAAACCGCGGACAAATCTGTTTAATCTGCATAAAAATGTGCACTGGTCAGAATCTGGGCTCATCGTAGTGGCAACTCGTGCCGTCTTCTCATTGAATGGACCTACTTTTGTACAATACACCTGTAACAAACCCGTCTAAACGGAGCTTATACACCCAAGAGTTCTTTAAATTATTTTTCAAAAGTTAGAAATATGAGTATGTTAAAGATCAATTTGTAAACAACAGTAAAAATAAAAGTCGCTCGGACATGTCAGCTCAGAAGTGCAGGTGGTTGGGGCACGCTGTATAAACAAAAATCAGCTGTTCCGACAGAAACTTCAAAATAATCTGTCACTCGCACACTCCTTCACGAAAATTAACACCAAACAAAACTGAATTGTCTCACTGATTTGACTTTACGTAGGAAAATAAAGAGACTCTGAAATAAATCAATTTCATACAAGGAAGAGAGATCTCTCAATAATAATAATTAAAATGTCCAATGAAAAGTCTGCAGTTATGCGCTCAAAAATATCAAAATACACAAAAATAAATTTGTTGGGGCCCATTCACCAGTCTTGGTCTTTTAAAAGAAAAAGATAAGGAAACGTGTCAGCGGGTTGGGATTTCATTTTCCAGGCCTGGAGCACACACCGCCAAAGACACTGCAGGAAACAGGACCGCCCCATGTGGCAGTTAGTTGAGTTGAATATGAAGTCCTCTTGAACCCTCCAGGGTTAGGTCAAACTTCACCAGGAAGCCCCAAACATCAGCTGTCCTGGGTAAACTCTGGAGCTCCACCAGTCTGTATGCTGCATCTCTCCACCTGTTTCACCTGCCCCCCCACCCCCACCTGCTGTCAACCTCATGTCTCTTTTTATAAGATTGGGTAAAGCTGTGACCCAGATATTTTCTTCGTGGATACATCGAGGATAAAATACACATCTACAAGACATTCTTGCATCTATAATAACAAACATTTTATTTGTAGTTAATTTATTTAGGTTTTATTCTCTGTGGTAAACCTTTTTTTTTTTCCTCACAAAATACTTTATTTTAGTGATGTCACAAATCAAATAGCCATCACAACCCCGATGACTTCTGCAGAGTCAGACAAGTGTTTCAGCACACTGAATAGAATCTGTTACGACTTGGGGAACCCAGAGTGATACGAGACCATGAAAACAAGGCAAGACTCAAGAATACAAATTGACAGTGTTTATTTATGTAGAGTGCAAGCATTAGATCAACTGGAGCCCTGAGGAGGAAGGAGAGGGTCAGGTGGCTCTGGTTGGGGAATGGGAGATGATGATATTGATCCAGTAGTTTTGTCTTACAATTTGGAGGATGGTCGAGGGTGAGCCAAAGCGGGCTCCAGAAGGGAAGGCGAACAGGCGTGTGGCTGGAAGGCAAGGCAGGAGGAAGAAGGGAAACCAAGGCACAACAGGATCCGAGGAGGAAGATAAGCATCAGTGGCTAATTCTCCGGCGACGAGTAACATTCAACTGCAGCCTTATGTAGAGTGGAACCTCATCAAAGAGATGACCGTCAGGTGGTGCTGATTGGCGGCCATCATAAAGAGGGAAGCTGCAGGAGATGGTACTCTCACAGGATCATCATTTTTCCGCAGTTTATTTATTTTTTTCAAATTGGATGCTTCTGTTGTTGGAATTGAATCTGCAGCATATA